GCTAATTATATTTTTACATATGCAAATGCAAACATGCGAAAATTTTCATATTAATGCATTTTTAATGAAATTCCTGAAAATTTTTGTGCTATTTCAGTGAATTGACAAAATTTTTAAGCGGTACTTTTTTCGCATCTATAAAAATCCTTTTCAAATGCAAGGTGCCTTAACGTGGTCGGGGACTGGCACCACTTGGGAAGAGAACGACCACACTATTGAATATTCAAGAGACTGAAGCTTCGTCAAAAAGCTATTTCTGAGCGAGGCACTGAGCCGGTAATTTCTTCAGGAGACAAAAGAAACAATAGGATCGCCAGAAGGCTGATCGCCAGGCCAGGCAGAAACGGTCAAAAATTGGAGAAGTTGCAGCAGCATAGTTTGACAGCCAGTTAAAGTACCAAAGTAAACTGCACTCAGTTGAAATACCGAAGTATAGGGTTTTTAAAGCAAAATATATTGTTTTTTCTTCATTACTGCGTTAGAAATGAAATAAAAGGAAATATAGCATAAAAAATTCGTCCAAAGGTCTCGTTTCAGGAAAGTTATGGATGTCTCTCTGTCAGTAGCCAATTACCTCCAGTGCACAGCTGCCGTCACAGAAGTCCCGCGAAAAGCAGGCAGAAATTGATGGTTTGCTACAGATAATAGCAGCTTCAAAAGTGCGGAGCGAAATGTATGTGATTGGCGTATATATAAATTAGATATGTGTTTCAGCTGTTGTATAGAACACAAGGACCACAAGTGACGTGGCGAATAGCAAATCGCGACCGGATGTGAAGAGGAGTGGTTCGATTGTATCTCACATCATAACCATTTTCAAAAAGGGGCTCCGTCTACGACGGTTTTTAACATCACTGCTATGCTCCAGTAACAAAATTGCAAGAATTTGTTTAGGCGAAGTGGGAATAGCTGGAAAAATTTGCTATGATCGGTTCACAGGTTGGGCAGAGAAACGCTTTCGGAGGGGGGGAATGGAAGAGATGCGGAAAGGGTGGTAAGGAGAAGGCGTAAAAGCTGATAAGGAAATGTGATCACAACTCAAGATTTGGCCAGTAACAAAGAAGGAGTAAAGAGGATGAGGATGGAACAAAAGCAGTATCCTGTTTAGCTCAATTTTCTTCGGTCAAGAGCCGGAGGATCCTGGAAGAAGAGATCACGGGTTCTCACAAGTATCTCGACACATTTTGGTACCACACGCAAGCCTATCGCAAACGCTGGTACTACGCACAAACACACGACCTCGTTGCAATGTCTCTACAGTTTATGCAAATTTACGTGCAGAAGAGCGATCGAATTTCCACGTAACGAATCATATTATGAGCGTATGCTCTGCTTACACACAGTCAAAAATTAACATATTCTGGGCAATTGAAGCCTCATTTATAAGCAGAAGAAAGAAGACAACGAAATCATTGTTTATATTTGTTACCGTTGCGTACGACTGCCTGGAAACGTTGCTTGTGGACAACATGGAACGCGCGGAAGGTTCTGGCGACGCGTACGTGATTCGCGATGATGGTACTCGAAACAACGCCACGGAGCAAAACCAGTCCGGGTCGATTGCTGAGCTACTGCACAGGGAGGATCCTTTGCATCTAAAAAGGTATCACAGTTAATTGCGTTGTTTTCTCAGCATCTTTAACCGAAAGCTTTTAGATACCTCAATTATCTTACCAGCGATTTGCTGGTGCTGGATGAACACAACAGAATCCAGTTGACAGATGTGAACAAATTCCGGATTGCGAACGAATTGGTTATGTCCGAAATAGATCGTGTCTGGGGTCTTATTTGCACGGAAGTGCAGCACAGTGGGGGCTTGAAGTTCATGCGCAATGTATACGAGGTCAGTTCCCCTTTTGTCGCTAACTCTTCAAATTGACGAGGAAAATTTGCATAATTTTTCCACGTCACTTCTTACAGGCCCCAACGGCTCCACCGGTCACAATGGAGGAAAAAGTCCCGATCCCAACACAGCCCGGATGCAAATTT